GATGAGCAAACTGGAGAAGCAGGAGACCGCTGAACTTTCCTAAAACAGGATATGACAGGTTTGTAGGCCAAAGCTAAGTGTCACAACATTGCGAAGAAACCTTGGGTGATTGTCTAGGCAGCCAGTTGGCTCTATCATTACTATAGTTTTTAAAGTAGTTTGAAGCCAGGCAGTGGTGACACATGTCTCTATTTCCAGCACTCAAGGGGTAGAGGCAGGGGGATGTCTGTGAGTTCAAGGCCAGGCTGGTATAGAAAAGGAGTTCCAGGACAGACAGTGCTATTACACTGAGAAACCCTGTCTCGAAACCCCCCAAAAAGAAAGTTGTTTGTGCTACACTTCCTGAACATTTCCTAAACATTTAGGTAATATTTATCCTTCTCAGGTCTCTGATGTGGTTGAAAATTAGATAGTCTCACCATTTTATTTTTCTACAAAATTCAGAAAAGAAACTTATAGAGAGATGTAAGGTTTAGAGGGATGAGAGACATAAAAGCTTGAGATGTTTATCCTAGAAATGTCTCAGGTCTAAAACGGTAGTTTTAGGATAGTAATAGAAGTTACGTTGGAAAGGGCTTTAGGTTTAAAGCATTGAATTCACTAAGATATGATAGATAATAGAATAATTTCTACCAATTTGTCAAATACAAATGGATTGAACATTGTAGATTTTTTTTTTTTTTTGAGAAATTTTTTTTCTGTAATGTTGGAGCCTGTCCTGGAACTAACAATGTAGACCAGGCTGCCCTTGATCTCACAGAGATCAGCCTGCCTCTGTCTCCTGAGTGCTGACATTAAGGGTGTGCATCTCCAGCGCCCTCTACTGCTGGGACTAAAGGTGTGCATCTCCAGCGCCCTCTACTGCTGGAACTAAAGGTGTGCATCTCCAGCGCCCTCTACTGCTGCATGTAAGTGTAATTCCTACCTGATAATTGTTCTTATTGTACATAGCTTCACCATGTTAGAGTTAAAACTTTTCCTTTTTATGTAGACAAGGGGGAAATCTAGAGGGATAGTTGATTGTACTGTGAAACTCAAGACTGTTAATAAAGTTATCCTTGAGTCAGGGGGTGGAGTCAACAATTAGCTGTGTTGAGTTAGCCATGACATTGTGGGGGACCCAAGATACAATATGATAGAGGCAGAGGAAAGAGAAGGGTGGGCCTGGAAAGATTCATGGGCCTCTTCAATGTGGGAAGCACGAAGAGACAGGGTCAGCTGGTTGCTTCTCCACTCCTTTCTCGATCTATCAGGCTTTTACCCCAATATCTGACTCCCGAGTTGTATTAATAATAGGAAAATTTACATACACAATTCACATAGTAGTGCCCCCTGCATGAGGACTGGATTTCCCCCACTCCAGACTGAGACAGTGACAGCTAAGGAAAACATCCATCCATGATCAGCTGGGTACACGCTCACCTCCCTGGTCATAACAGGAATTATGGATGGTTATGAGCCATCATGTGGGTGCTGGGATCTGGACCTGGGTCCTCTGTAAGAGCAGCAAGTGCTCTCAAGCCCTGAGTCATCTCTTCAGTCCATGTTTTTTTAATTGATTTTTATTGAGCTCTACATTTTTCTCTGCTCCCCTCCCTGCCTCTCCCCTAACCTTCACCTCTTGCCCAAGGTCCCCATGCATCTAATTTACTCAGGACATCTTGTCTTTTTCTACTTCTCATGTAGATGAGATCTATGTGAGTCTCTCTTAGGGTTCTCACTGTTGTCTAGGTTCTCTGGGATTGTGATCTGTGGGCTGATTTCTTTGCTTTATGTTTACAAACCACTTATGAGTGAGTACATGTGATAATTGTCTTTCTGGGTCTGGGTTACCTCACTCAAAATAATGTTTTCTAGCTCCACCCATTTTCCTTCAAAATTCAAGATGCGTTATTTTTTCTGCTGTGTAGTACTCCGTTGTGTAAATGTACCATGTTTTCCTTATCCATTCTTCGGTCAAGGAGCATTTAGGTTATTTCTTGGTTCTGGTTATGACAACAAATGCTGTTAAGAACATAGTTGAGCACATGTCCTTGTGGCACGGTTGAGCATCCTTTGGATATATACCCAAAGGTGGTATTACTGGGTTTCGAGAAAGGTTGCTTCCTAAATTTCTGAGAAATCACCATAATGCCATCTAAAAAGGCTGTACCAGCTTGATTTCCCACTAGCAATGCAGGAGTGTCCCCTTTACCCAACGTTCTCTCCAGCATAAGTTGTCATCAGTGTTTTTGATCTTGGCCATTTTTATAATTGTAAGATGAAATCTCAGAGTTGTTTTGATTTTCATTTCTCTAAGGATGCAACTATACTTCAACTAAGTTGAAGATGTTGAGCATTTCCTTAAGTGTCTTTCAGACATTTTAGATTCCTCTATTGAGAGTTCTCTGTTTAGGTCTGTACTCCATTTTTTATTGGAATATTTATTCTTTTGATGACCAATTTCTTGAGTTCTTTGTATCTTTTAGAAATCAGACCTCTGTCTGATGTGGGGTTGGTGAAGATCTTTTCCCATTCTGTAGGCTGTCATTTCGTCTTGTTGACCATGTCCTTAGCTTTACAGAATCTTTTCAGTTTCAGGATTTCCCATTTATTAATTGCTTCTCTCAGTGCCTTTGCTACTGGGGTTCTAGTTAGGAAGTTGTCTCCTGTGCCAATGCGTTCAGATATACTTCCCACTTTGTCTTCTATAAGGTTCAGTGTGGCTGGCTTTATGGTGAGGTCTTTGATCCATTTGAATTTGAGTTTTGTGCATAGTGATAGACATGGACCTATTTTCATTCTTCCACAAGTTGATATTTAATTATGCCAGCACCATTTGCTAAGTATGTTTTTTTTTCCAGTTGATTATTTTTTTGCATCTTTGTCAAAAATCAGGTGTTTGAATGCTTGTGGATTAATGATGAGGGAGTGTCGTCTATCTGTTGCTTTCATTGGTTAATTAATAAAGAAAGTGCTTGGCCTTTGATAGGCCAGCCCTTAGGTGGGTGGAGTAGACAGAAAAGAATGCTGGGAGAAAGAAGCAGATTCAGGCAGTCACCATGATTCTCTTGTCCGAGACAGACACAGGTTAAGATCTTTTCTGGTAAGCCACCTCATGGGGCTACACAGATTACTAAATATGTGTTAATCAAGACGTGAGAGTTAGCCAATAAGAGGCTAGTACTAATGGGCCAGGCAGTGTTTAAAAGAATACATTTTGTGTAATTATTTTGGGTAAAGCTAGCCGTGCGGGAGCTGGGCGGCGGGAAGCGGCCCACAGCTCCTACTACAGATTAATATCTGGGTCTTCGAATTGGAGTTTTCTGTCTCTGGCCTGCTCTAGCCTAGGTTGTCAGCTCAGACCTGTTTTTTAAAGGTCCCTGGTCTGGATCCATTCCTGCAGAAGTCCATGGCTTCAGGGTTGGTCCTTTAAAGGACTCTGGCTCTGATCTACTCCTTGGGGTCCCGGGCTCAGGCTTACTCCTCGAGGTCCCTGACTCATGCCCAGACCCACAGAGGTCCTGGCTCTGGCCTCGTTCCTCGGAAGTCCTTTCATGACACCCAGAGGCACAGGGTCCCTTGCTCAGGTCTATTTTCTGAAGGACCCAATTTCACGTCTGGATCTGCAGAGGTCTCAGTCTCCGGTCTACTGGTCAGTGGTTGCTCCCCTGTAGTTCGCTGTCTCAGATCTGCTCTGGCCCAGGTTGCTGCCTCAGTCCAGCCTCCACAAATGACCCTGGTCTGCATCTGCTCCTGCTCTCATGGAATTCACTGTCTCAGGCCTGCTCTGACCCAGGTCGCTGGCTCAGTCCTGCTCTTTTGGAGATTGCTGCCTCAGACCTGCTCTGGCCTAGGTTGCTGACTCAGTCCTGTCCTTATCTGAATCATGTTTTTTTAATAAACACAAATCTAAGTAGACTCAGGCTGTTCTGTAACATGTGGGCAGTATTCTGTAACATGAGGGCCTGCTTGTTGGGGTTTGTGTCCCACCCAGTCCCCCAGCCATTTAATCCCAGAGAAAAGCACATAGAGAGTCTGCATTAATTATAAACCAATTGACCCATTAGCTCAGGCTACTTATTAGCTCTTGTAGCTTATATTAATCCATTATTCTTATCTATGTTAGCCACAAGGAAGGACACATCCTGCTTCTTTGGTAGTCTGGGCAGGAATGTATGAGGGAGCTTCCTCCTTCCCAGAATACTCCTGTTCTCTTTGCTCCACGTCTACTTCCTGTCTGGTTTTCCCACCTATACTTCCTGCCTGGCCAATCAGCATTTAATTAAAACATGATTGACAGAATACAGACATCCCACACCAGTCTCCACTTGAGGAAACACCCAGGATTCCCAGATGTAGAGAGGGAGAGGGGACTTGGGCAGAACACAGGATAGATTTGAGATGAGACCCTGTGGATCCCTCCACTCTGCCCATCCTACAACCCAGGTTAGATTCTGATAGATGGGAAAGAAGGAGAGAACCTCCAGGAAGGGTCCCGAAGGGAGGCAGGAGCTCAGGAGACTGAAGCTCATGTTCTCATCCCACAGTCTCCTGAGTGCAGGGGCCTAGTTGGGCCTTGAGAGGACAAGGATGGAAAACAGCTCTTACTGCTGTCACTCAGGGACCCCACAGGATAATGAGGCAGACACCACTCACAGGAGCAAGAACAGGCCTGGTCCTCCATACTAACTAAAGAGACAAGAATTTAACAGAGAAGACAGGGGAAAGAGTCATAGCCAGGACAGCAGCCCTGACTGTCACAGCAGCCCTGGTGGCCCATAATCCTGGGGACAGGACGAGGCTCTGGCCATCCCAGTATCCCTGTGATCACAAATGTCAGCATGAGGTTCTAAGTTGCCAAGAGAACTGAGCCAGGAGGGGACAGATTTGACAAGTGACCTTGTTATGGCCAACAATGGACTGAGCTCCGTCTAGGCACAGCCCTGTTCTCACTCAGCTCCCACAGCCTCATCCTGTCCCACCAGATGCACACAGCATAGTGAACACAGATTCTGGGAGGTTCTCCATGTTGCCATTTATTTCCTCCATAACCTCTAGCTCAATGCTTTAATTTAGCTGCCAAACAACCTGTCAGATCAAAGATATAATCAATCAAGTTCACATTCAGATTCTCATTTTCAGTGGGGAAGTCAGGGCTGAAGCTCAGGGCAGCATGGAGGAGACAGGATGGAGATGTCCCCTCCTGTCTGCAGGAACAGGAAGGTTTGCTGTGGAAGGAAACAGGGCAGTGCAGGGACAAGGTCAGGTGTGCACGAGTGGGCTGGGCTCCCAGTTCTTCACATTGAGCCCATGGGATCACAGGGAACATCAGACACTATTGCTGAGAGTGAACTGAGGGGCTCTGGATGTCACAGGAGAGACCTGAACACATCGTCTGTCACTCCATCCACACCAGGCAGCTGTCTTCACGCTACAGAACAGGAGTCATGAACAATCACAGTGAGGACAACATCCCAACAACCCTCCACTCACTTAAACTTGATTCTGGGAGTTCTGAAATCCAATCATGTACAATTTGTTCCTCCCCAGATCAGTCCCAAGAGTTTCACCTTTACAGTTTTGGAGAGACACATCAGAGCTCTTGTCACTGTCCGTGTCTAGGGTAAAAATATATGTATTCATGGGAAGGTAAAAATTTGGCCACTAGAAGAGTTGCTGGAGGAGCTATTATGTGTTACCAGAGCTCCCCAAATACATCAGCTTCACCCCACAGGCCTCAGGGACAATCCTGCCCACCACTCTTACCTGAAGCTGGAGCATAGTTGCCTCCTTTTCCACCTGTGAGAAGAAAAGCTGTGAGAGACCAGGGAAGTCCCCGACCCTAGGAAGCTACCAGAACTGACAGCAGACCCAGGTTAGAGACGGGAGCAATGAGGGATGTGGATGTGTTTCCCATTAAAGAAGCAGAGATTCTTCTAAAAGGGACGAGAGAGAACTCAGACCCTGCTCTTTCCTACCTGTGTTTCTCCTCCTCTTCCTCACAACAGCTACCACAGCTCCAATGACCACAGCTCCAAGAAGAACCAGACCAGCAATGACTGCCATGATGGGGAACTGAGGAGGCTCTGGGAAGGGATGGACAGGAAGGGAAGGTGAGGGTCATGACCCCAGCTCTCATCCCTGACCCTGCTCATGGTCTGTAGAAGGCTCCAGCTTTCCCTGATCCCAGCTCTGCACCCTCTCCCTCCTTACCCCATCTCAGAGTGAGGGGCTCAGGCAGCCCCTCATGGTGCACATGGCATGTGTATTTGTGCTCCTCCCCAGAAGGCACCACCAGAGATGCCCACTTCTGGAAGCTTCCATCCCCAGAAGGTCTGGTCTCCACCAGCTCCATGTCCTGAGTCTGTTCCTCCTCCTCCCTCCTCCAGCTCAGGGTGATGTCAGCAGGGTAGAAGCCCCGGGCCCAGCACCTCAGGGTGACGTCACCTTTAGGTCCAGGATGATGGGTCACATGTGCCTTTGGGGGATCTATGTGGAAGATTTAAGAAACCCCACAATTAACAAGAAAAACTGAAATCTCCAAATACAAAGTTAAATCAATGATAACACTGAACTATGTCACTATTTGAACACTTCTGTCGTCACACTAGTGACCTGCAGGTAGAGCTGGTCCCCTCATCACAGAACTGCACAGTTTCCTGAGGGACCCAGAAACTAAGAGGTAATCTATATAAGCCAGCAGGTCAACATGATCTTATGTGACTTTCAATAGAATAAGTGAGGTAGAAAAAGGATGAAGGAATGGAAAATAATCGATTTATTTTGTGATTAAACTCCTACAGGAATAAGAAATTAAGATGATCGGGCTACATGAAGGGCGCCACCAACTCCTGCTGTCACCATTGGGGAACAAACACTGTGTCCACCTTGCTGACCAGTTTAACTGTGAATCCAAGTGAACAGCCATCACCAAACTGTGTGGAACAATTGTTGTGAACCTGTGAAACTCATCCAGAGAAAATGACTTCCTAACCTTTGCCTCTGGGGGACAAGATACCAGGTATTGTCACCCAGGATCCCTGAAGTGTGCTGTGGAGCCCAGTGCAGCACACTGGGACACAGCAGTGCTCACAGGGTGTGTGGATCTTCCCTGTCACTCCAGTTCTGGAGTTGCAGAAGACCCTGTCTCTGAGGAAGTTCAGTTCCTAATTCACAATGGCAACACTGTAACTTGTTGGGGCTGAAGGAGAGCAGGGGGCTCTGGACCGTTAATTCTGGCAGAAAATAGTCTAAATTCACAGTAATTTTTCTCTTCTAAAGGGAACCCTATCTTAACTTGTCTCATTATCCAGAGTGTCAGTCCCGAATGGCACCTGTGGAGTCTGATACACATGATAATAAAAGGGGACAGAGAATCAAGACCTCCCCAGTGAGGAAGAGAAACTCACTAAAAGCAAAATGACAACTTCAAAAAAAGCAAGAAAGAAAAGAAAAAAAAACCCTACAATTTAGTATTTGTCTAAGGCACCCCATAAGTTCCCACTTGACCATTCTAGGAAAAGATAGAATTGGGGTGTGGCAGGCATGTGAACCTCACACAGGCATCTAAGAGAATTTATTCTTTGAAAAGTTCTAGACACCGGGGAACCAGCCTAGGCATGGAGCCCAGTCTCCCATCAGGTAAGATACTGCTCTGTCCTGGTGTTGAAGGGCTGACACACTCAGATGACAGGAGTCAGAGTCCACACACTGGGTGTGGACACAGAACCCGGCCTAGGAGAGGCCATGGCTGCAGCTGACAGAGGCTCCAGACTGAAGGAGCCACTGTTGGTATGTCGGGATCCTCTCTCCTCCTTCCTGAGACAGATGTGGAACTGTCTAGGGAGA